TATCAGTTGGATGATTGATAAGCACGTGGAGACGTAATGACAAAAAAGAAGAGAATATTTCAGAGAAGAGCTTCGAGGCAAACAAGTATGGCGAATGTGATGACGGTAACAGTGATAGTGAAAGTATCGATACTGATCAGAGACGAGAGACAATAGATTGTGATGTCTGGGTGTCGTTCTATTAGAGGTTTTACGGTATTTGCCAGTTTCTGAAAGGCACCTTTTTGCCTGTTTTTGTACTCAAAACGCAAAAAACACTGTTTTTTCACTCCCACTTTTTTCCCATTTTCAGCAATAAAACGGTCCCAAAGCGGTTATTTTGGAAATCTAAAACAAAATTAAATTTTTAAAAAATTCTGTGAATGCAAAGTTGTCAATCTAACTCTGCTTCACACCCTCCAGTATTTTCAAAATAATCGCAAACTTGACATCCGAGCTCCAGACTACTGAAAACGGTCAAAATGGTCGACAATCAACTGAAAACTGTATAGTGATAACTGACTTTGTTATTGAAGACACTCCCAAGCACAAAATATTCTGTAAACACTCTAATTTTTTGATTTTTACCCAAAATTTTCAGTTCCAAATGTCCCGTCAAGCTACACCAACCGATGACGATCAACAAGAATTCAATCATCTTGTCTTCGCGTACGGAGAGCACCAACGTATGATGCAACTTTCCTTCTCCACCTTCGAACAGTTTTTGGACGAACTGGCCACAGGACAAAAACTCAGAAGGATGGATCCAGTAGATGTCAGCAAGTTATCAGCTGTGGAGCTCACTGGACTTTTGTACTGGATTGAAAAACAACAGCCTTATACAGATCTTCCCAGTGAGGATAAGTCATCCCTTCTGAAGAGATACTCTGTTAGAAAGTTGAGTTTGGACCATTTCTACAGTGCATCAAAGCATCCAGAATATGTAAGCATTGACACAGATGTAAAAAAATGTTAAAAGTTTTTCTTTTCAGTGCGCCCGCGGAGAATTCGTCATGAACAACTTCACATTCGTCCCAAATGATCGTACTGGATTTGAGCTTCCTGATGACGATCCACACCAGATTCAAGCCAAGAGAGAGTGAGATTTTTGATTTAATTGAGTCTTAACAATTCTATGGAGCTTCCGAAAATACCACTTAACCTATGTTGTCAACAATTAACGTCACCTAACCCAGACGCGATTTAAGTCGAACGCAAAACGCCACGCGTTGGTGAATTCTAGAAATTGCAGAACCTTCGCACCAACATTCAATCGATTCTGGAGCAACGTCATCCATCCATTCGTGTCGATGAAGGTGAACGATGCGGAAGTGGTCTTCTTGCACATCATGCTGTTATGGAGCGTCACCAGTGAGTTCGCCGTTGTCTTTTCGTGATGAAAATTGTTTGTTTCAGATAATGAACATGTGACAGAAAATACTAGAATCGTGATGAAACGACGACGTGACTGGGCGATGAATCGTCTTTTTGACTGGTACAGTGATCATAATACTGAAGAACCAGCACTAAGGCTAGGTCAGATGATTCTTCTTCTCGGAGAAATTGAGGTAAATTTGAAAATTATTGAGATTTTAATCTTAAAAGATGATTAATACATATTTCTACGGAATACTCTGAAAACAAAATTGTACAGTACCTGCCAATAGGATGTACAAAAGCATATTTTTCAGTTTATTTTTGACCATTTTGATAGTTTTCAGAAGGTTAGAGCGCGGCTGTCAAGTTTCCGATCGATCTGAAAATCGTGGATTGTGTAAAATAGACCTGGATAGGAAACTTTGTAATCATAGGATTTTTTGAGAATTCCTTTTATTTTAGATTTCTGAATGACAGTCTTTTTGGCCCGTTTTATTGCTGAAAAAGAGAGAAAATTGGTGCCTCTACGAAATCAAAATTGAAAGGAAGTTTCAAAAGTTTTTTGAATTCAAAATGCCTATTTTACACCCTCCAAGATTTTCCACGTGATCGGAAACTTGCCAGCAGGGCTCCAGACACCTGAAACGGTCTAAATCAACGCAAACACAATTTGAATATTTTATTACCGGTACTGTATTTCCTTCCTTATTCCAATAGATTTGGCCTAACAATAATAAATCATCTGTTTCAGCTCATTTGTGATATGCACTGTCAAGATTTCCAAGTTGCCAAACTCTTCGAGTTCTGTGACATGAGCAAATTCTGGTACGAAACACTTTGCTACGCACCATGCAACACAAATGTCCTGAAATTCGACCCCAATCTTTTGGAGAATCTCAAACTATTCACGGCGTTTAGTAAGTTTTTTTTTCAAAAAACTAAATACATTTTGAAAACTTCCAGTCCGAAATCAAATTATTTTCAGGCGTCATGGAAGCTAATGGTGCCCTTCCCCCATTCATTAAATCGGAAATCAAGCAAGATCCTGGAATGTACAACTCCCCAGACTCTATGAACTCTGGAAGCGTCTACAATGAACACCAAACTATTGAGATACCACTTCAAAATGGGTGCATTCCAAGCATTCAAGATCTCCAAGCTCTCCGCGAGCTTCAAACCCTTCAAGAGCTTCAAAATCTGCAAAACCTCCACGAAATTCAAACATTGCAACAGAACATTCAACAAAAAATGCCACAAAATATGCAACAGCAACAGAAACCATCGGAACCAAACCCAAATGTCGATCCATCAGTGTTGGTCTTCAATGCTCACATGCTCCCCAGTGTGATGGGACCACTACCAGACGACATTGAGCGACCCGCTCCACCACCGATCATTTTTCAGTTACCAAGTGAAGAAATAATGTTATAGTCATTCAAATAACATTGATTTAACTTGTATTTGTATATTTGCTTGTGTAATTATTGTTGTTCATAGATTTCTATTCTTGTTCGTTGTTCTGTTGGTTGTTTTGTTTTTCGTTCTCCCAATTTTCCAATTTCCTTACTTTCAGTTATTTCTCGCTTAGCAATTACATTTTGCTTTTGTTATTCTTTCCATCCCGGTGGTAATTTCTCCTCTTTCTCAATAGCGTTTGTATAGGCACCATATTCTTCACTATTCTAAGTCTCTCACTATCTTTCATCAAGTCATCCTTATCCGACCTCACTGATCTCTGCAAGACAGCATTCCCCCGCGCGCTCTGTGATAATTATCCCTTTTTTTGTTATAGTCACCCCACTCATTAACTCAGAATTTTTACGCGTTGAGACTCATGAAAAAACATTTACGGTCCCCTGGCTCATTTTTTATATGCTCCAGAATACTTTCTCTCACAATAAGATGTGGTATTTATTTAATAAAATGCAATAAAGAATTTTTATGATGAAAATAGTTTTTGCCTTCATATTTCTGTGATTTTCCAAGGAATATCGGTTTGAAGCAAAGCTGTGCCGTGGCTGGTTAGAAAAATAAGGTTCATTACGTACTATGAAGATAATACATCAAACTCTTTCTCCCCCTAATCTCTTATTAACCCCCGCACACAAGATTTGCATACGCAATCGATAATCCTGGCGGGGGGTCTCTCTTCCTTCGCACATACTCTATACACACATACATTGTAACCAAGGACTACGTCCCCCCGTTTTCCTACCCGTTTTCTCTAACACCCTACCAACTGTCTATACTATTTTCTCGACGGTTTTGTATTTTATGACACGACACATACACAGAGAGACAATTCGTTATTCACATGCCATGTCTATGCCTACTATCTATGCGTATGTTGCAATGTTTTTGAATTAAATTGATTTGATAAAACATGTTGGGGTGGGCGGCTAGACAAACTGAGAAGAAGACAAATATTTTTCATCGTCGTCGTGACTTCTCTTTTCGACAAATACCTATTGCGCTTGAAACTATAATAAAACTGCTGTTTTTGACTGAAATGAATGACTAGGTAAGTAAGAAAAAACCAGTTATCCGGGTTGTTTTCTCAATTAGTTCGGCAGGTTTTATTTCGAAATCTTCATAGAAATTTGTAATTTTCTGCTGTATTATCACTTTTGTCTGAAACGAACGCCTGTTGAAAGCGAAATTCTAGTTGAAGGCGCATTTGAACACGCAAGTGCGAACTACCGTATTTTTTGAGTCTATTTTAAATTGCATTTTCCTAGTTCCTCGTTTTAGGCCATTTTGATGGGTTTTTTAAAAATTTTAAATGTTATCAAAATTAATAGGTTATTCAAACCAAAATTGTCGAAAATTGAGAAATAATGAAATATTGTTCTCAAATATAATTTTCTTTTTATTTAAAAATATATATTTTTCATTTTTTTTCTTTTTTCGACAATTTGTATTGTTTTTTTTGTTGATTTTCATCATTTTTCACCAATTTAGATCGACAAAACGGGAAAATTTTTGAAAAATGAGAAAAAAAAATGAAAAATATTCAAATCAATTTTAATACTGAGCTATTTCGCTCATGTTTTTTTGAGCAAGAGTAATATGATTTTTGAGTTTTCTAATGTTTTATAACCCTTCGATGTTAGTTTAGGTACAAACATCAAAAGTTCAACCCCTCCTTTTTTGCACAAACCCAATTTTTTTTACTTGAATGCCTTTTAAAAAACCTATAAAACATTTTTTGAAAATCACTGGTTGTTGGTTTTCCATTCAATCCGGTGTTTGAACATTACCATAGAAAGTTCACAGCGCTGTATTCTAAAAAATCTCCCTCGTTTGGTTTTTGAATGATTCTTTTAAAAGTGTTCCTCTGTGATCAATGATGTTTCAAATTTGAATTAAAAATATTGTCACATTCTTAAAGGAGGCCAGACACCAAAAAAAATTTTTCCTGATATTTTGCATAGAGAACCCCCATGAGGGGTTGAACTCATGACAGTCAGCTCAGGGGTGCAGCGCCGCTATCGGCTGAGCTACGGAGGCGCGAAGGCGCCTGACAACCAATGGCCTACATAAGCGCGGCGCGATTTCGTCCCTTGAACTGTCCCCCAAAATTTTTGCTGTCTCGCCTCCTTTAAGATACCGTAAACGCTTAACTTCGAGCTCATATATCTAATTTCCCGGGAGAGATATCAAGACGCGGCAAACTGAGAAAATATTTAATATAATATTTTAACATTTTGTCAGTTTACCATTTTTTGATATCTTTTATAGAAACCATGATAAATTGGTTTGAAGTCGAAAGATATACATATTAGAGTACTTACTTTTTTTGAATTCTGTGAACTTTATTATCAAATTTCAAGGATTAATTCAGAAACGGGTTTCGCTGTCTGGTTGGCGCTAGCGATGTGAGTCTTGCGATTTTTCGAAAGATCAAAAATTCATTCAATGTTTCCTCTTGATTCAATTTAAAAACATTCTTGCATTTCGTTAATTCAATTAATCAGGAAGACCTGTAAAAAACACTTTCTTGAAATCACCCAATCGATTTGGCTCAATACTCTTCCGCGAATCATTTTGATATCATCGTAAATAAGCTGGGTGTTTCTTTGGCAAAGAAATGAGGATAAGAAGAAGAAATATAGACTTCTTCATATTTCTTACCCTCCCGCATCGTTCTCGTATTTCTTCTTCTTGCCCCGTCTATTTTTCTGTTAGTCTTGTGTGCGAAATCTCTCTCCTTTGCCTCATCCTATTTTCCGCGCTTTTTCCTCGCTTTTTTCTTCCTGTCCTCCGCCCGTCACATGCACTATGTTCGATGCCACCGCTTTTATTTTCATTCCACTCTCTTCTCAATTCCAGCGTGTTTCTGCCACTATATTCCCGCCTTTTCTCTATAAGTTTCACATGGTATTTCGCGCCCTTTTCAAAACATTTACGGGGATTCCTTTCAACTACTTTTTTTTGGGGGGGGGGGGGGGCAAAAGAGTTTGAGCAGTGAGAAATTGTTTGGCACCCTTCTTGTTTTCAAAGAGGTTTCGGCGAAGAAGCCCTTTTTGTTATGTTTGTTATTCGCTGCTCGAGTTTAGAGAAAAACATGCTCTTTGTCTGAACTCATAACAAATTTCAAAATTGTTGATGTCTCTATCGGTGTCTGCTGTTTTCCGTTATAAAAGTTTCAGCTGTTAAATCTGTAATAGAAGATCTTCTAACTTTTAACTTCGAGCCAATTTTTCTTGTTTCCTGTCAAAGATATGAAAAAGTTGTCAATTGATGAATTGTTCGTCATAATATCAGTAGTGATTTATTAGTCAAAACATTTTTGATATCTTGCAGAGGAAAGGAGAAAATTGAGCTTAAAGTACACAGTGGATTTTTTTTCGATTTTTCACTTTGGAAAAAAATGGCATGGGAGGTCTTGTTTTCAGAGAACTCACCTAAAAAATGTTTTGAACTCATCAACGTTTTTATGTGATTTTTTAAGTTGACTCCTTTTTTTATTATTGAAAGCTATAGCCGCAAATGTCTAATTTGTGAAAATAACTAAAATTTCGGTTGTTTTTGATTTGCCTTATTTCTAAAATTGTATTCACACTAGGCAAAACAACGAAAATATTCCTACTACCTGTTTTCACAGCTCTAGATCCCTCTTGTGGTCATGGAAGTTCAAAAATCCTGTACTAAACTTCTTTTCCTTCTTTTATCATTTCCTCTCAAATTCGCCAAAACTCTCAAATCGAATAATAGGTTTTTTTTGTTTTTCAGCCTGTCAATCAGCGTTCCTATCAATCCGTGTGTCGTCAATAGACCAAAAAATAGAGAAAAAAGCAACAGCGAGAGGCCAGGGCTGAAAGGAAAATGGGAAACAATCAGCCAGGTGGCATGTACAAACGGGATCGCCCATTCGACTCTGAAAAGGGTGGAAGCAAAAGCCGAACTGGAGCACCAAGTGCGTCGCCACCAAACGAGGATGAGTGTCCGGTACAGGTATGCATTACTGTATTTTTAAACTTGAAGTTTCTATATTGCCTAAAAACCAATCAAGAAATTATCATTTAGTACCGGTCAATAAGATTTACAACAACGTTTTGCTTTCAGTTTATGGCGATTATGTTCATTTTTAGGAGTCTGAAGCTCAGTTGTCAAGGTTCCGATCACTTCAAAGTTTTCAAAGGTGCAAAACATACCTAGATTGAAAACTTTGCATTCACTAAAAATCTTGAAAATCCCTATTTTCCCAGCTTTTGTCAATTTCTAGAAGACAACTTTTTCACATTTTCAGCACAAAAATGGGTCAAAAATAAGTGTTTTTCAGAAATCGGCAAACATCTAAAAACTAGAAACTCTGCGAGTGCAAAATTATCAGTTCAGATGTGCTCTATACCTTTCAAAATTTTCAGAGTGATCGTAAACTTGACAGCCGGGATCCAGGCTCCTGAATATGATAATAATAGACATTAAATTACTAAAAATAGGTAACTGTGTATTGTAATAATTGGTACTGTATTAAAGGAGGCGAGACAGCAAAAATTTTGGGGGACAGTTCAAGGGACGAAATCGCGCCGCGCTTATGTAGGCCATTGGTTGTCAGGCGCCTTCGCGCCTCCGTAGCTCAGCCGATAGCGGCGCTGCACCCCTGAGCTGCCTGTCATGAGTTCAACCCCTCATGGGGGTTCTCTATGCAAAATATCAGGAAAAATTTTTTTTTGGTGTCTGGCCTCCTTTAAAAGATACGAAAATTAGGAATAAAGTATTACTTCAAAAAACAAACTTACTTTTTGAAATATTAGCCATCCGAAACGTATTGTTAGGGATCAGCAAAAAAGTATATTCTGAATAATGCCTCATAAATTATAGGGAATAAAAAAAATTTTCAAAAAAATGGTGTCTTTAGTTCCCATAAGATCCTTGTGCCTTGAGGTCAAGTTTTTTTTGATATAAGTATGAGACCAACTGTTGTTGAGAAATTCCATTTCAATGAAGACGAATGGTTTTTCTAGGGCTGGACACACACGCACTTTTATTCGATTCTTTTTGTCATATGAACATCCACCTCAGAAAAACGGTACCAAGTTTTTTTTGTCAGTCATACGTTTTGTCTTTTCCTCTCTTTTCAAATAGTGTCCGATCCGAGAAGGAAGTGTTTTTTTTCTTTTAAAATAATCTCTTATCTTATCAGACTCAGATCTCTCTTCTCAAATGAAAATAGGAAACAATTATTTTTTTTTGGATTCCGTACAAGACCAATACAATAATCAAATAGGATAAAACTGATATTTTTCGAGTAGGTTGGAAACTGATCAATTAATCGTTGTACTAGATTGTGTTCAATTTCGTCAAAAGTACAAAAAACTTATCAGTCCTTTTTTTGCCAGCCAGTCACAATACTGTTTAAATAATCATAATACCTTTCTTTAATTTTTTCATTTTCCAGATGAAAATCGCCAAAAGCGACGACAAGACCAAATTATTTCCAGTGGTATTCAAATGGAACCAAGCCAACACGTAAGTTTATTTCTCTCTGATTTCAAATTTCTCTGATTTTAAGAATTTTATATGATTATTTTATTTCAGATCCGCACGAAATGTAGCAATCTGTGGATCGTGGGACAAATGGAACCAACGAATTCCTCTTGTCAAATCGTCGGGCGATTTCTCAACGATCGTTGATTTGGAGCCAGGAAAACACGAGTACAAATTCTATGTCGACCACAAGTGGGTGGTTGATGATAATCAACAGAAAACGAGCAATCATTTGGGAGGGGAAAACAATGTCGTGATGATTGATGAAGCCGATTATGAGGTTAGTTGAGGTTGTTTCCAGTACAAAATTCAATAAAAAATAGAGAAATGAGGGCATATGACCATGTATTGGCTCCTCGCTTCTTGTTTGTGGTGTCTCTAGGCACGTCATAGCTTTTTTTTAATGACAAATGTTGTTTCATTTTCCTTTTTAACATCATATAGAACACCGTTTCGTACCGACCCTCATCATGTCCTCCCCAGCGAGCTCTAGTACTGTAATTGATCCAGAGGTAGTTTTTCTAATTACATTGAAATTGCAATTTTTTTCAATTTCAATTTTGAGAGCCTGAAATACAACTAATGAACCTAAAACTACCATTTAAAAACATTTTTTATTTAAAAAGTTCTGATTTTAGAGGATACTTGAGAACTGAAATAAAACTGAAAAAATTTTCATGTTAAGTTGAAATTTCGATTTTTAGCGTGAGACCATTTTATCAAATTTAAGTAATAAATCAGACGAAAACTTTTTTTGGATTTTACAACGGTAATAAACTTGACAAGCACATTGTGGAACCAAAGCAATTTCTTACAAAATCTAATTTTAAAAAAACTAGTATTGAATTGATTCAAAAAGTTGAAAAATGTTCCAAGGACTTTCCAGAAAATCTTGAGTAAGTTTTGAAAACACGTTTTCAGTCTGAATTATATTTTTCAATTTGGAGATCCTGCTAAAAATTAAAAACCGTTTTTCTAATTTTTCTGGTCACAATTTTCGAAAAAAAAATTCCGTATGTTATGAGCACATGGAGAATTTTCTGATAGTGTGAAAATTGTCTTTTTTCAAACAAGAACTGATATCGAATAACTAGCCACGTGTTACCCATGTGATAAGAAGTGTTTTGCTCAAACGTTTGACTGTTTTAAAATTTTATAGGACACAAACCAAAGCTAGAGCAATCAAAACTATAGAAATATCTCACTTTCCAGGTGTTCGATGCATTAGATAAGGATCTGGCTTCCTCAAACGCTGGTGAAGCTCTCCGTTCCAACCATCCAACCAAGGAATCTCATGACACTCCCAATGATCGTGAATTAGAGAAGCTTCATCAATTTGGCCAGGAAACTCCAACCCGTGCTGACTTTGGAAAAGCTGCTCCACCACCAGTGCTCCCACCCCATCTTCTTCAAGTCATCCTCAACAAGGACACACCGGTTCAATGTGATCCAAATGTGCTCCCAGAGCCAGACCATGTCATGCTTAATCATTTGTATGCCCTATCTATTAAGGATGGAGTGATGGTTCTCTCCGCTACTCATCGCTATCGCAAGAAATTTGTCACCACGCTGCTCTACAAGCCGATCTAATTAACCATGTTTCTTCTTTTTTTTTTTGATACATCGAATTGATTTTTTTGTGAAATCGTGATACCATTTTCTTCTTGTGGTTTGATACCTGTAGTCTAGACTTTTTTCTCTTTACTACATCTTTTTCAACCGATTCGACTCTTTGTTAATTTTTGACATCAGCTTTCATCCACCGACAATTTATATTTTTCTCATAAGTAGTCATTCCTTCATAATTGAAATGTAACAAAGACAAGTGTGAATAAATTGTAAAAAGTGAAAAAATAACAAAAGTGTCAGGAGCTTACGTTGTTCTTTTTTAAGACTTTTGTTCCACACAGCAGCCCGAAAAAATTGAAATTTTTAAGCCATCATTTTTTTTTGAAATGGTCGATGTTATGGTTCCGAGGCTGCTCTTGAATTTACAGGAATGTGGATTTAACTCCGAAACGTCTGTGAAGTCACTCCCAACTTCAGACACTGTTTGTACAGCTTGTTTCGAAAGTTTCAAATTAAAAAAAAACATCCGGTAGATATTTCGAAATTGAAGTTTATAAGATAAATGGATAAGCTCATGTACAGTGATAAGCTCATGTCCGATCAACTCGCAATCCAAATCGAAAGTTTTTAAAAATGCGGTTAAAGGTACAGAAATCTGTTCGGCTAATGTAAATCTTGAATAACTGTCATTTAAACACTGTACCAGTCAAACAATGTTCTGGCGAATATTAAAATTTTGGATGAAATTTAAATACAATTCCTTCAAACTAAAAACACTAACATGTAAAAAACTACCGTAAAACCTGTGATAGAAAAGCCTTCAAATCTTCAAATTTGAATCAATTTTTTTGGTTCCCGTCAGAGATATGAAGAATTTGTCAACTAATAAATTGTTATATCAAAAGTGTTTTGTCAGTTGACACATTTTTCATATTTCGTTGCGGAAATGGGATAATTGAGCATACAGTGGATAGCGTTGGTGCTCTTCTGGAACAGGTCTCACAAAAAGAAACCGCTTCAAAACTGTAATAAAAGAGATCAGTTACCATATCGAACCATCCAATTTGAGGTTAATTATCTTATATATCTTAATTCCGGCGAAAGATATCAAAAACGTGCCAACTGACAAAAATATGGTGATAATATGATAAATAATTTAATACTTGACAAACATTCAATATTTTTCACAGGAATCATAATAATTCAGTTTAAAAGTGACAGTTTGAATGAACGAAATGAGGTAACTAATATTCATCCACTGTCTATGAATATTTGTGCATTTGTCAGTTTTAAAAAATCTGCTTAAGTCTTGCTTGAAGTTTCTAGTGGAAAGACCGTTTATTTTTCTCTGCAAACGTTAACTTTTTTGCACGATTTCTAATGTCGCCGTATTATTTTATTGTTTTGTTGTAACTCCGATCAACCGGTCCCTCCACATATCATTGTTCAGCACAAGGAAGCACCGTTCTGCAATAAAATTTTTATTGTTCCGTGGTTGGGTTTGCATGGTACATGTAGTAAATCTACTACATATAAAAAGAAAACCAGAGAAACTATTGGTATCACTTCCAGTGAAATCAATGTCGGCGGGCACCCCACCTAACACCCCCGACAAGAAGGGTTCACCTATTCGCTATTTCGAGGAGAACGAGTATTCTCTACCAAAGATGATCCAATTCTTGGAAGACAATTCTTCAATCCAACTGTCATTTGTCGCTGTTGAGATTCAGGACCCTGGGTACAACTCAGCACGCTCAGCATCTCCATCCGCATTCTTTCTTGACTTCATCAGCATCTAATTATTTATGTTGAGTTCAAGTTGAACTGTTGATTTGGGTTTTCAATAATAAATATTTTAATATTGCAACATGAGTTAAATTTTGATGTCAATGGCCTACGATCGACCAAACAACATATTGGTTTAGAGTCATAAAAGTGTTAAACATAGAAGAACGGAATGTGTCCAATCAAAGACGTTTCTTCTTATCTTTTGCCACATGGCATGTCCAGAGAGAGAATTTCAACTTTTTATCAGTTCTTCATTCTGCTCTCGTTGGCTAGATGAAGCTACTGTTTGCGGTTATTCTCTTATCCTTGAATGGTTTCGCCGATGCCGATGATCCAACTGTAGATGTAACTGTGACGACACCAAGCGGAGCAGCCACTATCAGAGGTACGGTCAATAAGATATGCTTCAGTTGATTTTGACTATTCTCAAGAGTCTGAAGCTCGACAGTCAAGTGACCGATAACTTCAAAAATTTTTGAGGATATGAAACAGAACTAGATTAAAATTTTTGGATTCAAAGAGTTTTTGAGAGTTCCTCCTATTTGCCGATTTCTAAAAGACACTTTTTTGGCCATTTTATTTTTTAATCTGGAAATCTGAAAAAAACAGGTGGCTGTTTAAAATGGGCAAGTAGCTGAAAAACTAATTGTAAGAATTTTTAAGCAATTATATGAATACAAAGTTTTAAATATAGATTTGTTTAACTTCCTCAGAAATTTTCATAGTGATCCGACAAGTTCCAGACTCCTGAAAATTGTCAAAATGATTGAAAATCAACAGAAAATTAAGTTTTTGTATATGTTTTCTTATTGACCTTGACTACAGCATGGAAAATAGGATTCAAATTTTGTTCCAATCTTATATTTCCAGGATACAAGCATCCATACGGTACTTCATTCCGTGGAATCCGTTATGCTCAACCTCCACTTGGAAATCTCCGATTCGCCGAAGCTCAACGCTTGGATCCCGCCGGTCTTGTCTCAGCACTAGGATATGGTAGAATTTGTACACAAGGAAACGGACAAACTTCCGGTGAAGATTGTCTCTACATCAATGTGTTCACCCCAAATGTAACTTGACCACATCAATCAAATTAATGAAATTGAAATTATAGAATGTGACGGCAACTTCAAAACTTCCGGTATACGTTTACATTCATGGTGGTGGTTTTGTCGAAGGTGGAGGAAACATGGGAGCTGGAATCTACCCAAATCTTGTTAATAAGGGACCAATCGTTTTGGTGTCGATGAACTATCGACTGGGACCATTTGGCTTTTTCTCAACGCGCGACGCAATGGCTCCTGGAAATTGGGCAATTTCTGATTGGATTGAAGGACTTAATTGGGTTCAAAGATACATTTCCTTCTTTGGTGGTGATCCGACTAGAGTGACAATCGGAGGACAAAGTTCTGGAGCAGAAGCAGTTTCAACTCTGACACTAACCCCTCTTGCTAAATGTATTTTAGACATAGAATGTAAAAAGTCTTTAAATTTATAATTCTTAAGCATTATTCAAGCAATCAATTCATGAGTCTGGAAGCGCATTTGGTGCAGCTGTCATGTCGTATTCAGAGAAAACCAGATCCACCAGCAAACAGCTGTCTGTGAAATTAGGATGTGCCACTGCTGATCAATGGGAGAGCGGACAATCGTTTGGGGTGAGCGAAGGAAAGCCGCCAAGGTGATTTATTTGACTTCTTCAGCCCATCCTCAACTGTCTTCGTGGCGTCACACAGGACAAGATCGTCACTGCCGATAATTCTCTGCCAGGACATCGGATGAAATGGTCGATTGTCCAGGACAAAAAGTACTTAACCCAACGTCTAGAGTACCTTGCTCTTCAGCGCGATGCTACGAAAAACGTCTTGATTGGAGATGTACATGACGAATGGCTTGGGTGGGGTAGGTAGAGAAATTTGTTGGGACAAGTTCAGATTTTCAGTTCAGAAATGAACAACATCCTTCACAATTTGAATAGCACTCATAATACGGGAACACAGATCAAGTATGATTTGAAGGATTGCTATGAAATGACATACTGGGATAATCCGCAGTCGGTGTTGGTAGCTGCTGATAACAAATATGTCAATACTATGGGATGGGCTGACAATGATCATAGAGATTGGGAAGCAAGAAGGATTCAGGTGTGGTTGAAACTGGAAAGGATACAGTACCATGTTTTGGTTGATCTATCATTTTCAAAAATCTGAAGCTCGGCTAATAAGTTTCCGATTACTTTGAAAATTTTAGATAGTGTAAAACAGACTTAGATTGGTAAATTCGCATTCACAGATTGTTTTAACAATTCCTAGTTTTCCTGCGTTTTAACGATGCCGGAAGGACTTCCCCCCTATTTTTACAGATTTTGCGCTGAAAATGTGAGAAAAGCAGGCGTCATTAAGAACTCGTTCTACACCTGAAACACTCGAAAATTTCAAGACATTCTGTGAATGCACATTATTCAATCTTTTACATCCTTCAAAATTGAAAAAAATAATCGGAATCTGGGCGGCTGAGCTCCAGACCCCTGGAAACGATCAAAACTACCGAAAATCACGTTTTCGTATATTTTATTGATCGGTACTGTACATGGTTCATAACAAAATTTTTAGCTTTGGAGTGAAATGGTGTTCATTGGTCCAACATTGCGAGATGCTGCATACTTCCAATATATGAAGAACAATGTGTATTTGTATTCATTGGATTGGTTGAGCCCAGCAGGTGAGAATGAAGATTGCCGTGAATGCTTCAATATAGGGAAACCCTATACAAGACCTTTGAGCTCAATTATCTCGATTCCTATTAAAGATATGAAAATGGTTTCAACTGATAAATTGTTCATCATAATATCATCACCATTTTATCAATTGACCAATTTGTGATATCTCTGATGGAAATTGAGATATTATTCTTGTCCGGCGGCAATGAACTTTGAGAAAATTTTGAAAGGCGAATTAACGGTTCTGTAGCAAAAACTGCATAACTCTTTTCAATGAATATACAGGCTTCTCATACGGTATTTCAAAAAATTTTATATTTGCCTATTTACCTCATATTTTCGGCAAGCAACAGACCGTAATAAGTTATTTTTGTGATATGCAGGACCTACAATTTCCTTTAAATAAAATTTTAGCCTTGCGGCTATGTTCCCATTGAGACACTGCTGATGTTTTGAGCTCTTATTATCCTTTCCCTATTTTCCAGCTCTCCCACAAGTTACCGATCCCCTTTTCCGTGGTTGTGAACACACCTGGGAGCTTCAATACATCTTCTCAACCTCATGCAACGGATTCACCTGCACCCCTCAAGATGAACTTTTGAGAGACTATTTCACAACTACTTGGCTCAACTTTATTATCAAAGGGTGAATGAGAAATGCTTCTGGAAGAAGAGCTGAAAAACAAAATGGAAAATATATATGAAACTTTTAAACTATTAAATTACTAAAAGATATCTCTTACAGAAACCCAACACCTGCTGGCAGCTCTCTTCCATTCAAATGGCTCGCAATGGACAAATCCAACAGATTCCTTTCGTTTTCGCCGAATCCGAAAATGCAACCTAGCTATCATCCGGATTCCATGTTCTGGGTTTGCACTGCTCCCACCATTGACGGATACAAAGGTCCATTCTGTTAATTTTCGGCTTTCTCACAAAGGTTGTAATAAGATGAACATATTTTTTTCAAAACAAAATATTAGCGAAATTCATTATAGCAAAAGATTGGTTAAGGGAGAAATTATGAAAATGAAATGCTACAGATAATAATAGTAATCTCAAATTCTAGAAGAAGCGAAATAAATGTCCGGGAAAAAGTCGGGGAATTTTCTTAAAGACTTGAAGTTTTGACGGAAAAAGGATGGGCTTTTTTGAATGAATGAACGTGTTTAGAACCGTTTGTGTGAATGAAATCAAATCACAAATTGTGTGTTCTTTTTTGTTTTGTTTTTTTTTCTGGATTTTTTGGATTTAAGGTAGAGAAAGGAGAGGAAGCGCTAGATATAAAAGGTAGGTACAGTATCATTGGGAAGGGTAGTATGAATTAAATTGGATAAATGGATTGGGGCATATAAAACAGAGATAAAATACATAGAAAATGTTTTGTGGTGGATGGGTTGGAAGTACTGGAATGTTGGCTCTCAAAATCTAGGACCTTATTATTATCAAAAAAATTCTGAACTTTCTAGTGAAACTGGGGAAGATTTGAATTTTATTCAGTGTAAATAGGATGATGGTGAATGGAAATTTACAAAGAAAGATTTGAAAAAAATTGTTAGAAGAACGGGAAAGCACACGGAACTTCAATTGATTTTTGAATCGAGATTTGTGAGCATAGAAATAATGACAAATTTGATTTAAGCAGCTGGCGCGGCGACCGGTTTCTTGTCCTCGACGAACAACTCAAAGTATACCATTCCGATGCGAGTGGAGACGTCGTGTTCGATGTTGGAAGCGTAGGCACGGCACTCGACGATGACCAATTTGTTGCGTGGGATGGTGTCGAACTTGACCATGGCCTGGAATTATTTGGATTCGATTTTTTTTTCTGGATTCGATTTTTTTCTCAGCTTGGCAAATTTTGTGGGGCACAATACTTTCAATATAAATTTCAGATAAACTAGAAATACCAGTCAGTAGCATTTACATACTTGAATTACGTAATTTCTAAAATAAAAAACAGAATTCTCAAAATCGGCGAATAATTTCAAAGGTGAAAAAAATTTGGGGTACAACGGAATACTAAGCAATATTTTCGAAAATATTTTGAATCCCGAATGTGATAATTTTGGACCGTTAGATTAGTCTCGTGACTCCAAAATGATTGTACCCTCCGAATTATTGGGAAATCTTTTCTGACCTACAGTACCGGTCAATGAGATTCACAAAAACAAAACTTCAGTTGGTTTTGACCATTTTTCTGGATCTTGCTATCAAGTTCCCAATCACTTTGACAACTTTAGAGAGTGTAAAACAGACCCAGGTTTAAAACAACTCTAATAATTTTTTGAAAATTCACAGTTTTTCAGCTATTTGCCGAAGTCTGAATGGCACCTCTTTTACGTTTTTAGTTCTTAAACAACCCCAAAATATGTCTTCCAGAAATCGGCAAATAGCTGAAAAACTAGAAATTTTCAAAAAATTCTGTGAATGCAAAGTTTTTAATCTAGTCTGTTTTACACGTTCCAAAAATTTTAAAGTGGTCGGAAACTTGATAGCCGAGCTCAAGACTCCTGAAAATGGTGGAAATGGGCAAAAATTAACTGAAATATATGTTTTTTTTTTAATTTCCGATTGACAGCTAGTGTACAGGCATTGATGAAGTTGTTTTGAAAAAAATATTGAAAAACTTTCAAAAACTTATTCAATTCGATGACTCTCCACCCCCTATAAATGCATCTTAAAAACCCAGGAACTTACGATTGGTTGTTGGTAGGATGGAAGGAAGACATATGGGTAATAACGTCCGTCAATTCCGGCCTCTGGGATGTACTTCACTTTTCCGAGATGTTCCTTGTCGAACGGTGTCTAAAATTTTATCTCTCACATTTGCTATATGTTTCCATTACTCACCGCTCCTTCACAGTTGATGGTAATGGATCCCGACTTGTATCTAGACTTGATCTCTTCTGGGACACTATTTCCGTCGTAGTCAACTGGACGCCATCCGATGAGTCTGTTGAGAGAAACGACAACGCATGGCTAAATATCAAATAGTTGGTTGAAGGTATCCCTAATAACAATTAAACCTTTCCGCTCTTGAATCCATATTGGTCCTTTGCTCCGCAGTTAGCCTTCTCGAAGAGCCCTAGGTCGAAACGGCATGGCAAACTGTCTGGATCCGTTTGAAGAGCCTCGTTGCTGTCTTCAGCTCCACATTCACGGGTGTCATTGGTGTTGTTATAGCGGGAGAAATATCCGTCGAGTTGTTTCACATATGGTTCCCAGGATTTAGAGTCTTGCAAGTTGAATTTGATGAGTGTAGAATCAGGATTTTCCTTAAGCCATGGTTGATATCCAACTCCTGGAAAATATTTCTGTAAGGTGACCCCTTCTCTCGTTCTCATTCTTTTTTTTTCTCATTTTGAACTTATATTACATTAGGTGTTGCAAAAAAGGTGAAACACTACTGATAAGCTCATAGACGTTTCAGTGACAATCATCGACACCTACGTCAATTCGCAAGTTTTTGATGAATTCCGGAAGATCAAATGGGTTTTTTGTTGTTTGCTCCGTAAATGCAACGCAAGCATTATCAAGAAAAATGTCATTCCAGAAATTTTTGTGTTCGATTCAAAATTTTTGTTGTGAAAAGAAAGATTTGCAGATTGAAATGAGAGTTCGATCTCAGCGAATTTTTGTACAACTTTTGTATTTTGAGATGTTATTCATCAGCTTCAAATTTTTGCAACTGTTCTGAGTGCGAGAGCCACTTCAGTATCAACTCATCTCTAGAAATAACACAACACAAATATATCAGTTGCGCAACGTTGAAGTTAAGTGGGACTACCCCTCCCGAAAGAAAAAAAAACGAACAGATATAAAAATTGAGCAAGAAAACAATCCTCCCGTACGGACAGTAATGACTAACCTGGATTCACTCCGATGATTGTTCCCTTTCCATAGAAACGCGGCACTTTTGGGTCTAACGTTTTCAAGAAGATGGCGAGGCATCCGATGAAGAAAGCAGAGAGGAAGATGTAGAAGATGATGTAGAATACTGTGATTTGGCCTGGAAGAAATTGGTATTGGAAAAGAGTTTGGGTATCGAAGATATAAAAGTTGGGGAAGTTTTTCGGGAACTTTTTGAAATTGAAAATCAAGATTATCATATCCTGGATTCAACAAAAAGTGATTTCCAACTTTGAGCCAATTTATCTTGGTCCCTGAGCAAGATGTCGAAAAGTGGTCAACTAACAAAATGTAACTGATTTTATAAAGAACATTTTGGAAGTTGAACAATTTTCAACATTTCTTCCTGGAAACAAGATACAGTACCAACCAAGAGAGTATGAGACTTATTTTCTGTTGATTTTTTGGCTTTTTGACCATTTTCTGTAGTCTGGAGTGGGAGCTCGGCTGCCCAGTTTACGATCACTTTGAAAAAATTAAAGGTGTAAAACAGACCTAGATTGAAAACATTGCAACCACAACATTTTTTAAAATTTCCTACTTTTTGAGCAATTGACCGATTTCTAAAAGACATCCGATTTTTCACGTTTTTAGTGGAAAGATGGCCAAAAAGTAGTGTCTTTCTCTTATATCTTGTCGATTTCTAGTTCTGCTTTCGCTTCCCCAAACATAAATCGGTATGTAGCTGGAAAACTAGGAATTCTGTGAATCCAAACTTTTCAATCTAGGTCTGTTTCACACTCTCCAATAGTTTCAAAGTGATTGGAAACTTGACAACCAAGATTCCTGTTAAATTGGCCGAAATTCCACGGAAAATTTTTTTAAAAATTTTTTTTGACCAGTACTTTTCCGGAGAGAAGCTCTCTTTTATAGAGTTAACGACATCTGTGTATTAGATACGCTACTTCTGATTGTTCCAAATTTCTCTTCCTGCTAAAAGACTTACACCAGGATGTTCCAGTTCTTCCCAAGACGGTTCCCTTTTGCTTATTGTACAAAAACTGCCGGAAAGTCTCTGGTTCTGCTTTCGCCTCCCCGTTCATCAGCTGCAAAGATGTGGAAATAAACATAAACACAAATAAATAAATTTTCCGGGTTCTAGATGACATCATTTGGAGGGATCCCAATTCAACTCAACTCGCTTTCACAATTCAGTCTTTACCAGATCAGCTACGTCACACATGCGCACTTTTTTATGCCCCGTCTTTTCGGTTTTCATTCTTTTCTATTCTGCTTTATCTTCTTCTTTCTCTCTTCATCCTCTTTCACTGCTTCTGCTCATTCTTATTCAGTTTTTCTTTTCTTTTCTCTTTTCTGCTTTTAAAAAGGAAGAAGATAGAGGAAAAGGAAAAGGAAAAAAGAAATAAGTTCAAGTAGTTTCAAGAAAGATTTTAAAGAAGAGACGGCAGAGAAACTTGTTTGCAGCTTAAAATAAAACACTTGGGAAAAGAATAAAAATTGAATTGAATGAAAATCTTCGATGAACAGATTTTTTTCAGATGTTTGAAATAACTAAACGTGAATTGGTCTAAAGCTTAAAACTACTGGAACCAAAAATTTGTAGAGTTATGCATGAACATGAAAAGTTACTTTTTTGGGATCACACGCGATGTCTCATGTTGGAATTTTTTATCTAAAAACTTTGGAAAAAAATACTTACCGTTTTATTCTCTTCTCCGTTTCTCATTTTTTCCATGTCTTGGACTGTTACCCAAACTGAAAAAAAGCAATTTTAAAAAAGTATAGAACAACTGAGAAACGAAGAAAAAGGAGATTTTATGACGATGTAGGAAATCCAAGACTGGAAAAAAACATTTGGAGCAAAAAAAGCAGGAAAAAACAACAACGGTGCATATATGCATTGGACTCTCTGCTCCTCCTGTTTGATGATGTCACCATCAGCCCCAAAATTTTTTGGGAGGAAGAGTCGTCTTCTTTTTTTTTCCTTTCTCTCCTTCTTGCCCAAAAACGGGACAACACCCGCTTCAAAAAAAAAAGGAAAATAGAAAAAAGGCAAGATGGGATGGCAATGTCAGTGTGGAAAAACGAATGGCAAAGCAGTGGTGGTGGTAAAAAAGGATGGGGCGACACACAAGATTGGATCAACTTGTTTCTTTTTGGACGAAAACAAACAAAACAACGAATTGTGCATTTGTCTAGGAGCAGTGTGGTGGTGGTGGACTCTAAGCGCATAGAGTGAAACAGGTAGTTGACTAAAGTGTTCACTTTTGAAGGGGAAGATCAAGTGAGAACAGGGGGCAAAGTGTCCAATCATTGTGTGGGTGTTAAAAGAGCGTGTTCCAGAAACATAGATCATAGTTGGCGCTGCATTTTGCAGTTTTTAGATTGTTTTCCAAAAATTGTTTTTGAAAAAATTTTTGAAAGATATTTGTTGAGAGGAGATTATTTTGAGATTTTTGATATATCCGAGCATTGCTAATGATGTAAATAAAGTATAATAATTTCCAAGTTGAAAGGTTTCTCCAATTCGGGAATGTTAGGAACGGAATTCCAAATTGGAATTTTCCGAAAATTCGAATGTTTCAAGAATCAATATACTCCGGGATCCCGAAACTTTCAAAATCGGAATATTCCGAAATATCGAAATTTTGAATTGGATCAACTTTGTTCTTTTTTGACGAAAACAAACAAAACAACGAATTGTGCATTTGTCTAGGAGCATTGTGTAATAGGAATTTTCTGAAATTAAAAAGTTTAGAAAATTGAACCATTCCAAAATTCCAGTATTTTGAAATCCGAACATTTCGAAATTCCGATGTTTTGAATATCGGAATATTCCAGAATTTCAAAAAAATGAATATTCCATACATGTCGCGGGCCGGGCCGGTGGAGGAATTTTCACTGGCCCGGCCCGGCCCGGCTGGGCCGGGTTTTTGAGGTAAAAAACTTTTAAGAGTCATTTTTTTTGAGAAAAACCTGGATTTTTGTTTTTTTTTCCCGACCGGGCCAGGCCAAGATTTAGCAAGTATGAAATATTCGAAAATTGGAATGTTCCGAAAGCCTGTAATTTTCTAAATTGGAATACTTCGATATTCCGAAATTTCAAAAATCTAAATAATTTAAAATTTCGAAAATCGGAAGATTCTAAAACTCTGAAATTTTGAAAATCGAAATTCTCCAATATTCCGAATTTTCGACTTTTCGAAAGCGGATTATTCCGAAATACTGAATTTTTGAAAATTGGAATTTTCGAAATTTCAAAAAAGCTATTCCGGACATCCGTGACTTGAATAATTATGCAGCTATATTTAAAAACAAAAAAAAGAAATTCTCAAAAGTTTTTTTTTAAAAACTCATATACAAAGACGTGGTTTCCATATAGGTATTGAGTTTCCGGTCTGACCATCTATTCAGAAAACGAATTGTAAAAAAAAATTTCAATGGGAACCCAACACCCAATTTTTAGTTTTTTTTGTTTTTTCCTATTTTTAATTTCCTCATTGGAGTTTCGGTCCCTTTTTTTGCCGTTGAGATGTCTATCAAAGGGACACAGAAGTAAAGATTGGTATCGGTTTTTATTTTCAAGGTTTCAAGTTGAGTACCTCTTTCATCTGAAGGACGAATTCATTTGTTCGAGGCTGGACAATGTGAATGGGAATCGTCTTCTTGAACATTGGGAAAAAAAGCAGTTTTACAATTTTTCCTCCTACGAAGACAATTTTTTAAAGCCCGTAGAGTAGAAAAAAACGGAAAAGTACAAACAATGTCTAGTAAGAAATTCCTCAAAAAGAGGAAAGACCGGGGGCACAAAGAAGCCGCGAAGGCAAACGAAAAAAGTGACAAATGAAAATTTTATAATTCGAACAACCTAGACAAGGAAAACAACATTTTCTGTTTACCTAGACTTCCGAAATAAAAAGTAAAAGTACTTTACTCATCAAAAACAAAAATATCAATCCAATGTGACAAGCATGATATATTGTTTCTTCCGATACTCAGCGATACTACCTGTCACATTGAATCATCGTTCTACTTTTTCTCTCCGGCAGCAGCTAGAAGGAAATGTATAAAAATAATATCGAAATTTGAAGAGAACGGTGTGTGGGTGTATGTATTCCTTCCAGAAGAACAAGAATTGTGTTTTATTAGAAAATTGAAAATTTGCTGGATAGCGCAAATGTTTGTGATTCCCCAACATCTTATCTCAAGCATGATGGTATAATCAGTCGAGATTGCGAATGGCGTCAGTTGTCGTAATAACCTATACAGACAATAATCAAATAGTGTCTGTTTGCCGAATATTTTAATTAGTCATTTAAAACACGACAGAAAGAGTATTGTGGTTTGCTTATGTACACACAGATCAGGGAAGTGATAAGGGAGGGGAAATATCTGAAGAATTTGTTGAGTTTTGATCTACAAAAGTTGCGTTGCATTATGTAAGGCATCATAGAACAATCAGTCTGGAGACAGACGAACGGGAAGGAAGGGGAACACAACTTTTTTAAAGCATATAAACGAAAGAACTAAACAATAGTAATGGGATGATGGGGAGAAAAAGAGCGAGGTGGGAGGAACAGCTGTCATCAGGATGAGTAGAAGTTGGGATGCCAGGAGAAAGAGGAACCACCTGTTTTATTTTCGGGCTCATTTTTTCACCGTTCTGTTCTTCTTTTTCAACTATGTCATTGCGAACATTAACAGACGGGAAAAAATTGGCAAAATCGCTTGGAGGAAAATTTTGTGAAAAAAATTTCTCTTCAAACTTTCACAATAGGTTCAGAATAACCTGTCTGGACATCTCTTATAGAATCCGCTGGCCAGTTTCAGCCGAGTTATACAAGTTTCAGTACCAAAAATCGCAATTTCAGCTCAAACCAGTGAGGTTCAAAGTCGACTTTCTCAACTTCTAGAATTCTCCGGAACCTGAAATTTGCTGTATTAATCTTAGAATTGAACAAAGTTTTAGATTTCAGACATTTTCTCAAAAAAAAATTTTTTTCGATTTTCGGATAAATCGTGACAAAAACTTGAAAAAAAAATTTTTTCAAGAAAAGGCCTGAAGTTGAAAAAATTGCTCTATTTAGACTCTATTCTGAGTTTATTACAACAAATTTATTTTCTTATGTTTTGGAACGTTCTACATAGAAGTCTTCGAAAATCGCTTTTTTGCACGAAAAAGGCGATTTTTGGTATTAAAACCGAAATAACTCGGCTAAAACTCGCCAGTGGATTCTAAAATTTTCAAAGTCATCTCGATATGCTAATCTAAACGTATACTGAAAATGTTGTCAAAATCTGTGTTCACAAGATGTTGAGGTACTCAACGATTTGTCATGCACCTTGTTCTGAAGAAGGGGAAATGGGAACATGCAAAAATTATATATGCAACAAGTGAGGAAAAGACATTTGAAGCCATGGAAACTAGGAAGGGACCTCGTAAAAATTTCGTGTGGAGATCAAAAGCCACCACCACCACCACGCAGGAAATAAGCAACGCCCCGTCCTCTAATTGTGTTGGAATAAACGGCACTAGCACCCGGAGCAAATGCAAGATGGGACACACTACACAATGGTTTTTGTTTGTTCAATACAAAGCACCAAGATCTTGAGAGAGCTCTTATAAATTCAATCGAAATTCGCCGTACAAAAACATTCTAAAAATTAGTTTGGATTCTCATCTTGAGAGCATAAAAAAAGGAATTTGTTGAGAATAAAGTGCATATTAGTACCCTAGATTGATCGTCTTATGATGTGGACATGAAGAGAGTGATACCGTTTGATGTGTTGTGTGTACACAAAATGAGATTAACTCTGACGTTGTTCTCACCGCTCCAATTTTCTTCTCACTTTTTGCTTTTTTAGTTTACTGATAAAAAAAGTGAATGAGTTTGGAGAAAAAGTGCTGATTACAGAACAATATCAACAGGGATCATTTTTTCAAAGTGTGTTGCAAAGAAGCTTAGACATCGAGAGACGGAAATAGACTACGGAGAACTGGAGAATCATCTTTGGAAAATTTAAATTTCAAATTTGAATTGAGAACGGGTAAACAGAATTCATCTATGATCTGGGACTATTT